CAGATTCAGAATTAACTATCCAAAACTTCTATGTTGGATTCGGCATTGTCTTGCCTAGATTATTGTACCATTGTGAAAATATTTGTATAATTTTTGCATATATAAAAAAAGAAAATACCCTATTCTGCCTTGGCTTGTCCTTTGTTATGATTACCCAAGTGCACATGGTGTTGCTTGAGCATCCAGACTCTTCTTCCCTATGAGGAGCATACCATGGATCTCGAGCAAATTAAGTTTTCAGTAATTATAAAAATAATATAATTAGAAGTAAGCATATATAAAAATGTAATTCAATATATGAAACACTGCTCTTTGTAATTTTCCTAAACTTAATTAGGGGAGACGTAGTGTACTTAAGAAATGTGGAAGCACCAATACCAGTGCATGGGCAAAATGTGACTCGGGGTCAAAGGGATGTCAGTAATTATTTAAATATCCCCCCCCCCTCCCCTCCCAGTGATGACATTCCTTCCATTACCCTAGAACAGCCTTTCTCAAACTTTCAAGTTTGGAGGAACCTTTTAAATTTTTTAGGTCTCAGGGAACCCTTGCACAAAAAATGATTATAGCTTTTATTTATTTATTTACAATATTTCTATCCCGCCTTTCTCAGCCCGAAGGTTACTTAAGGAGGCTTACAAATTGGCAGCAATTTGGTGCCATAACAGTCCATAGTATACAATGAAAAACAATTAGTATACCATTATAAAATCCATACAAAACCATTACAAATAGCATCGTCTAGACCGTTCCGTGTTTCGTTCTTTCATAGTTCCATGTTTAACTGTTACGCTGCATTTCCAAAGGCTTGTTCAAAGAGCCAGTTACAACTTCAAACCCCACATTTTTTTTTCAATCACAGTCTCTTGCAGAACCCCAAAAATGTGCTTCAGAGCCCTAAGGTTCCCAGGATACCTGGTTGAGAAATCCTACTTTAGAAGAATGTTTGTCCCTTTCAACATTGCCTTATAACATGATGTTAATTATTTGCACACTAAAAGAATGTGTGGCACTTAATAAAGCATGGAGCTGAGAGATCACAGTATGAGGAATATACAGCTGGTTATTTTGTGTTGTTCTGGTGGTTGTATGCCCTCAAGTCCTTTCTGACTTATGATGACCGTATAATGGGGTTTTCTTGACAGAAGTTGTTCAGAGAAGGTTTGCCCTTGTCTTCCTCTGAGACTGAGAAAGTGTAACTTCACTTACCCAAAGTTGCCCAGTAGGCTTCCATGGGATTTAAAGCCTGGTCCCTTTGTGTCCTCATCCAGCACTTAATCTGCTATATCAGTGGTTCTCAACCTGTGGGCCCCCAGATGTTTTGGCCTTCAACTTCCAGAAATCCTAACAGCTGGTAAACTGGCTGGGATTTCTGGGAGTTATAGGCCAAAACACTTGGGGACCCAAAGGTTGAGAACCACTGCACTATACCATGCTGGCATGCATGTTTTAAGTGCTATTTGATCCTATGTTGTTAAATTAAAATATTTTCTCACACTTACAAACATTATATTGGCTGAGCTTCAATCCTTTTAAATGAAAAAAATCTTTAATTTTGCCTGAAAAGTCTGAATACCATTCTGAGACCCAATTTAAACACTACTTCAATCAGCAATTTTTTAAACTTCATTTTATTATACACTAAAAAGACAACAACAAACACCACACAAACTCCAAATCAAAAAGTCCCATCATAACTCACCCTACAATCCTCCCTCCCCCTTGATCCTACCTATATGGAACAAAAATACTCCCCCAAAAATCAACCCAAAATCCCAAAGACCATTAAAAACACAATGATCTTTTCCCCTCATAAAACAAAAACAACTATCAAAGTATTCCACATACTTCTTGTTTTGTTTGATTCAACTTCTGCTCAGCATGAACATCATATTTAACATTCATACACAACCACAAGTAATATTCATATCAACAATGTATACATTTAACTAAATTTTTGAATCTTCTAAATATAATATATTATTTCATTTTCCATTCAGTAATTATGCCACCTGCCTACAAATAATATTACGACAAAGAGTTTAAATATTCAATCAGGTTGTTTTTTTGCTACAAATTTGTCATCTGGAATGAATTTCCACTTGGCAATTACCCGCATCAGAACTGATGTAAGATGTTACCACAATAAAGAAAAATACAAATCCATGAAGGAACAACTATGGCAACATGATCTTCAATAACAACCATATGGATGAAATAACATTGCAGTTGAGCTGTGGATACATCCTAGAATTGTGCTTTCTTTTTTCACATATGAAGGCTCAAATTTAAGAATACTGACCAGTTGTATTCTAAATAAACCATTTATCCAAGCTCTGAGACATGCGTACTGTTTTTTCCTGGTTTCCTTTTCTTTGTCCAGATCCCATAAGGACATCCATTGTTTCTAATAGCCTTATTTCTTACAACATAAAGATTCTAAAGTTTGATAGCATATTTGTATTTTAAAACTGTATCGAAAGGTAGGTCAGCTTACTCTGATGTTAGTGATGTTCGTGATAGAAGATTGTGGTCAGTTACATTTTTTATTAATATTGGGAGTACCAGGCAGATGATCACACCTACATTTTGTGTACAAATGATCATACTTATATGTATATCAGTATATGATATAAGTGGAGAATTTTTAAAGGTGGAGAATTTTTAAGGAAACGTTTATATTGAAAAAACTTTGCAGGCCACATTGTGTGCCTGGTGCTTCTGAGAAGGATGCCAGGTCTGGATTTGTTCTTAGATTGCATATGTGATGCTTTAATACTTACTAGTGCAAAAAGGGAAGGGGATTTTTACCTTTCTGTAGTACAGAAAAAGTTGGAAAATGTTATAGCTTCTTTCAGAACTGACAAAAACATCAGAGGTGACCAATTATTCACCTTGCTTCTGAAACCCAGTCCTTCAAATTATAGACTGGGGTGTGCTGAGTTGGATGTGGGCTATATCTACAAGCATAGCCCATGCACCTAACCCTTCTCCACTGTGGTTCCCAGCAGTAACTTCCTTTATAGCTGACACACAAAGGGTAGGTTAAGCTATTTCACTCATTCTTATAAGCCAATCAGAAGTGGTTGCTTTCAAATAGAATTTCAGAAGACTTCTTTTGAAGCCATAGCTATTGCCTCTAGTTGTCTTAGAGCTCTGGATATGACAGAGCTCTACATACATACATACATACATACATACATACATACATATATGTATGTATCCCAGGAAGACAAAAAGTATATAATATTGCCGAAAGAGACTTAAGGTCTGTATTTTCCAACAGTTGACATGTGCATGTCTGTTTTGTCTGCTTCATAGAATTGTGTAGTGTTTGCTTTTTAATACAAGCAGATTGACCTGGAGAACTGAAGTGTTGTTTTCTAACTGAAAAATGGGCACTCAAAATGTTCCGGCTCCTGCATCTTTAAGAAAGATAACTTATAAGCAGGGCCATGATTCTGTAGATTGTGCCACTTTTCATTGTAATGAAGAAAGCAGCCAACTTTCACGTTAACATTCTCAAATACAATTGGGCAAATAAAGAATAAAGTCTGCTTTCCACATCACAGTTAAAAATATGGAAATGCCATAATTTTAAATCACAAAGTGCAGTTTTCTAGTAGCAAATTACATGACACTTTGCAGACTTTACATGACACTTCACAGACGTTAGGATTCTTGCAACTGACTAGGCAAACTGAAAGAGATATGCTGGTTACATTTTTCCAAGAAAATAATAGCATGTAGCAACTAAACAAGTGAAGCCAGGATTGATAGAATATTAACAAAGATGCAGTACGTTTGCTGTTGCTTGAGGAAAAAAAAAATTGTATTTTTTCAAATGTATGTTTAGTGTAAAGGAGATTCCATACGTTGTTTTATCTCATTGTACTGGCAATGTCATTTGAAAGATTTGTGCCAAACCTTTCTGAAGTTGTAGAGAAGTAGATCTAAATTACCTTACCAAATTCAATATGAAAGTTTCCCAATCTATATATATTGAGGTTCTTACAATTAAGTACTTTGCATTTTTTTAAAATCAAGCAAGGCAGAATTGTGGATAAGCTTCAATTGGTTACCTGAGAATTGATTGAAATGCAACGGCCAGAAAGGCATAGTGCAGTCTTTAGAAGATATTTATTTGTCAGTCAATCTACCAAGGCAGTGCCCTCCTATCCAATTGTATTTTGGCTTGTGAAAATCCCATGAATGTCGGTTTTGTAGAAAATGGAAAAGCTTTTAATTACTTACTTTACTTTTTTAAAGAATTCATACCAAGATCTAGTTTTAACCAAGAAATCAGGGTATGAAATTTATGTGATGGTATTCCTAGAGCTTTTTACTCTACAGTATAAAGCTAAAGCAAATGGTATAGCTAAATTCCTAGAGAAAACTTGGAGTATTCTTCATCACCTGAACTAGTGAGCCAAGATGCTATTAATTCAGCACAATTTCCTGTTTTTGTTCTGCTTAATATTTGGAAGCAGATTTGAAGGAAAGGTGAGATAAAATGTGTGCTGGCAACTCAGTGAGAGGTGGGAGTAATTTGTCCCTCAAGCATTCAGCATTTGTTGAACTACAACTCCCAGCAGCCTTAGATTAAATAGCCAATAGTAGAAAATTGTATGAGTGGTAGTTGAAAATTATTTGGAGGAACTAAGTAGTCGGGGGGGGGGGGGGGGGGGGGGGGATGATGGAAGAGACCAGCTAAGTCTAGGTGTTGCCTGCTTTCTTTGAGGCTTTGCTTCAACAATTTGCGTACATTGGAACAGCTTCTTAATAAAACAGATCATTTGAGCATTTAATTTCTAAGCGTAATGTGAGGAAATCCTTGAGTTCCAAAGTAAAAGGGGTGGGCTAGACCACCAGGCAGAGTTTTCTACAGATGCCAGAACTATTAATGTTGTGTCCTTGAATCAGAATACCAGGTAATCCCTGTGCAATGTCTGCTCAAATATAGTGCGAAATCAGTAATTTGGTGTTGCTTTTTCCTACAGAAATTCCACCTAAACTTAAGAAAAAAGGACATACTGGACGAGAACAGAAAAAAGTGAGTAATTTGTATATTTTTGCAGTTTTTGCTTTTTGAAAAGAGAGGAAGTAGGCTTAAGTCAGTTCTTCACAGAAAGAGGTGCTGGTTTGAGTCTACTTGATGGCCCAAACAGTTTGGTGTGACTGAGCAGAGGCCAAAAGGTCAAGGCCTCCCCCATGCTTCAGGACTTGAATTCCCCCCCCCCCCCCAAGTTAGTTTAGCTACGGGTAAATGGTTATGTGCAAAAAAATTAACTTGTAACATCCCGCCCCACCTGTATTTTGTTCTGTGACACATCTACTAAGGAGGATAATGTATAAAAATATGGACAGTCCTGCTCCAGTATTCACAAGGGATATGCTCCTGGACTTTGTGCTGATATGTGCAACCATGGATAAATAATGAAACCTACTGAAATGAAGGGCTTCTGGTTCAAGAATGAGATGCTGCCATGCTGGAGATTCTAGAGATTGCCAAGAGAAGATATATTTTGACATATGTGCATAAATGAAACTGGATACCAGTCCCATGGATACAGGGGTCATTCTGTAATGGAATATCAGTGGCCTGTTTTTACAAACAGGATCAATATCAAAAAAAGGATTTTTTTTGTGTATGTAGAAAGTTGCCTGGGAGTGCATCATTCTACCACGTTCCTTGCCCCTCACCCACTTTTCCCTGTCTTAAGTGTGGACACCAATTGAAGGCTAGTGAATGAGATAAGTCCCCCATCCCACAGAAACTTTGGAGGGTCACCAAAACAGAAGCGAAAACATTTTTTTTTACATTCAATTGCCCTCTGGGAATGTGGGATCATTTTACCATGGTTTTAATCTCAGGAGAGAGCTTTTATAATAACAAGAAAAGAGGGGGTGATGACTTGCATTTCACTTCCTGTTTAAAGTTGACTATGAAGATGAAAAGGTGTTGAAACGCCCCCATCCCCCACCCCAGACAAAAAATGATCCTGGGAGGCTGTATGTGACCTATGAGCCACACTTTGCCCCCTTTACTCTGTTACAATGATTTAGTTGAGTGTTAGACTTGCAGAAAGAAGTGAGGAAAGAGAACAATTGACAGGAAATTTGGGGGGGGGGGGAGAGAAGAGGCTTTTCATTGCTATGCAGAAGAGTCCCTTCCCCAGTTTCTTTTGTTATTTTAGAAATCTTTTTGTTCCTTTAGCATCACCACCATCACCATCAACAAGCGCAGCAGCAGCAGCCGCCGCAGCCTCCACCGCAACAGCAGTTACAACCGCAACAGCTACCACCGCCATCCACAGCTGTCCCTCCACAAACAGTTGCTTCAATCAAGTCCTCTCCTCCAGCTTTTGTTCCAGCGCAGATCCCAGTTATGGAGCATCCGCTCCCAGGGAACATGTTTGACAGTATCTCTCATTTCACTCAACCTATTATGCAGCTTCCTCCACCAGAGATGCCGCCCCATATTCCTCAGCAGCCTGAGCACAGCACTCCTCCTCATTTGAATCAACATACGGTTGTGTCTCCTCCAGGTGAGTAGTTGTTGAGTAACTTGAATATATCACAGTCTTAATACTTGAGCCATCAGATCAGCCATTCAGAATGTTTTTTTGAGCACCAGGGTAGCTCAAAGTACTACTAATCAAGTATTAGTTTGATTTCAAGTATTAAAAACAGAGAGGCATGTGGGCGAGGCATTTCCAGCTTGCTAAATCATAGCTAGCTTTAACCCTGATTATGTTGCAGTTCCCAATTGCATCCAAAATAAGCAACTGTAGTTTAATATTTGTTTATTGAATAGGATCTTAATCCACTGATTGAATATTGATTGAAATACTGGTTAAAAACAGGGCCTTCTCAGTGTGGCCCCTCGGCTGTGGAACTCCCTCCCCAGTGACATTAGATCAGCCCTCTCCCTCCTGGCCTTCAGAAGGAAAGTGAAAACGTGGCTTTGGGATCAAGCTCATGAAGAATAGTGCAGTCTAATAATAGATATTGAATATGTGAAATGACCCTGGAATGGCCTTGGAAAACGATTGTGGATGGTGTGGTTTTAATATCGAATGTAATATTTTTAAATGTTTAATGTGTATTAATTTTGATGTTTATTTGAATTGTATGTGTTCTAAGGCATTGAATAATTGCCTATATGTAAGCCGCCTTGAGTCCCCTTCGGGGTAGAAAAAGGCAGAGTCTAAATGGGGCAAATAAATAAACAAACAAAATGACATTAAACCACAATTCCCTATTTTGTATGTAATTGTGAACTAATTCAATCTAAGTAGGTATTCACTTTAAGAGAGAGACAGTGAGTTCTAAACTGTGTTTAAGTCTGAAATGCATATGCATACACACACACATATACTACGGTCAGTGACCAACACCAAAAGTCTGAAATGGTCCATTAGAGTTTTGAAGGATTAGTGTCTGAATAATCTTTTATTTCAGTGACATCATGGGATTCATTCTTTTGGAGAGGAGAAGGATTGATACAGGAAACGGTCAGAAGCATATTTTAATGTGTAGAGAGCTGTGCTCTGCATGATTTCATTTCTCCTAGATTTGCTACAGAAGAGCAAAGAAAGTATCTTCTGTTGGTCAGAGCTTTGCTCACATAGGAATTCCAAAAATGAAAATTACAAAGAGCTCCCTTATTAAAATGATTCCTGATATATCCCAGAAATGTTGGTACCTTGAAAGATACCACTTTCCCAGTTGTATATCCCTTAGGCTTGGTCCACACATGCAGAAGAGTGGGATGGAGTTCTAAGGTGGTAGAATGGTTTTACCTTTTACAAGTGAATAGTATTGTTTTCCCTTGTAAGTAGAACTACCACAAGAAGGAGCAGGCTAGGCTGGATTTTTCTCTCTCAGAGTGCTTTAAAACAATATTTTTAAAATCCTCTTAAGCATTTTAACTGGAGGAGATTTTAAATTGTTATCAACCACCTGAAATATGAAGCAGTAGTTCATTTCATTTTACCACAAACTTGGACATCTTTTTCTCAGCTACTTCAATAGATTGGCCTTAATATCTAATAATAATATTGTTTCTGTGGCACAGCCTTTGATACCATATATTGCTTCTTTCTCTTTTCCAGCTTTGCACAATGCTCTGCCTCAGCAGCCCTCAAGACCCAGCAATCGAGCTGCAGCGCTCCCCCTTAAACCTTCTCGACCCCCTGCAGTTTCGCCAGCCCTTAACCAGCAGCCCATGCTCCCTCAGCCCCCACTCCCCCAGCCCCCCCAAGTGCTGCTCGCGGATGAAGAACCTCCTGCGCCTCATCACACCCTGCCACTCAGTAACAGCCAGATGCAGCTGTACCTGCAGCAGCTGCAGAAAGCGCAGCCACAGACTTCTCTCCTCCCTTCAGTGAAGGTCCAGTCACAGCCTCAGCCGTCCTTGCAGCCTTCCCCTCATCCTCCAGTGCAGCAGTTACAGCACCAACCGCAGCCGAGGCCAGTACATATGCAGCCCATGCAGTTTGCGCCCCACATGCCTCAGCCTCAGCCCCCTCCACAGCAGCATCTCCCCCCACAGCAGCCGCAGCCGCCACCTCAACAGCCGCCAAAGCCCCAACAGGTCATCCAGCATCATCAGTCACCGAGACATCACAAGCCAGACCTCTACTCAACTGGTAAGCAATCACACAGAAGTAGAAACATCGCTTGATTATATTGAACAGCAATTTGAGCGTAGGACTACACTTCTGGAGACACAGGATTTGAATCCCTGCTCAATTATGGAATCCCACTCAGTGAACTTGGGCTGTCTCAGCCTTAGAAGAAGGCAGTGGCAAATTTTACCAAGAATTGTCATCATAGGCCATAAATTATTTGAAGACACACAACAATATTATTATTATTATTATTTATTACCATTTGTTTATTTTTCTCCCGCTTTTCTCCCATGGGTGGGACAATGTGGGGCTCTAACATCTTTATCTTATTGTAGCCATTCTCATTCTCGAACGTCTTTATCTTACTATATCCATAAACTAAGTTACCTGTATTCCAAAACAATCCAAAATATGAAACACTTCTGGTCCCAAGCATTTAGGATGAGGGAAGCTTAAAACTAGTATCTTGTATCTGTAACTCTTACCCTCAAATAACTGATACAGACCCTCTGTTACCTAGTTTGTTTCTCATTGTCAGAGGCAGGAACTTTAAAAAAAACTTGTAAGTACAAAAAAAGAAGTGTATTGTCGAAGGCTTTCATGGCTGGAATCACTAGGTTCTTGTAGGTTTTTTCGGGCTATAGGGCCATGTTCTAGAGGCATTTCTCCTGACGTTTCGCCTGCATCTATGGAAAGCATCCTTAGAGGTAGTGAGGTCTGTTGGAAATAGGAAAATGGGTTTATATATCTGTGGAATGACTGGGGTGGGGCAAAGAGCTCTCTAGCTTCAGCAGAGAGCTCTTTGCCCCACCCCAGTCATTTCACAGATATATAAACCCATTTTCCTATTTCCAACAGACCTCACTACCTCTGAGGATGCTTGCCATAGATGCAGGCGAAACGTCAGGAGAAATGCCTCTAGAACATGGCCCCATAGCCTGAAAAAACCTACAAGAACCTACAAAAAAAGAATATTACAAATTCTACATGATAACTGATCTCTGCCAATGAGGAAGGAGATGAAATTTAGATTCACGCAGAAACATCTTGGGTAAATCTGTGTAAGAATGAAGTATAAAGGTAAAAAATGTACAAAATAATACAATTGTGTGTACTAATAAATTTGTCAAGGCAGTACAATAAGTTTATAAGTTTTATCTTACTCAGTTTCCCCTCCCAAAAGAAATCTTTTAAAAAGAACTTCAGTTTTTCCAAATGGAACCAGTATTTCCAGGAGTTATGCCTTGTGTAATCCAACAACATAAGCTGAGCTATAAAGTGGAGTTTAAGAAAAAAGAACATCATTTCATAGTGAGCCTTTTGGTCATAGTAGAAAGCAAAGGTATTTTTCTGATGGGAAACTGATAACATAAAGAAGCCCACCTTCTTGCCACTGCCATATGTTTTGGGTGGGACATCAGCTGGAGGTCACAGGATCATCCCCCTCCCCCCACACACCTTGTAAATCTGTGATTGGCTGTTTTCAATGAACTGTCCTGCAAAAGTGACTGACTGGTGCTGAATTGTTCCAGGTCACTTGAGAGAAGCGCCTTCCCCTCTTATGATGCATTCCCCACAGATGCCACAGTTCCAGGGGCTGTCACACCAGTCTCCGCCTCAACCAAATGTCCAGCCAAAAAAACAGGTAAAAGGACATTATGGATGTCAGGGGACTTTTTCTCTCAAGTTCCCAGGTTGCATATGGGCATAAAAATGTTTTTCAGTATTCTTGGGTATTGAGAACACAGGTCTTTTGTTAGACACAAGATGTGGAACTGGGACATTGGGGAGAAGAATGGGCTAAATGCAAGGAATACTATTTGAGGAAATGATCATTGACTTGGCTTTGATATCTGACCTTGGCAGGAACTGAGGGCAGCTTCTGTAGTTCAGTCGCAGCCTATGGTAAAAGAGGAAAAGATGCAGTCGCCAGTCATTCGAAATGAGACTTTCAGTCCAGCCTTGCGGCAAGATCCTCCAAAGCACCCAGAGAGCATCAAGCCACCTGCGCATATCCAGCAGCGTGAGTAACAGCTGAGAAATTGCTTATATCTCTCGTCTCTTTCTTTTCAAACAATCTTGAGAATGGTGGATTAGCCCATTCCCTAAGACTACTTTTCTGTTTTTGTTGACTTACATATTTGTTGTTATAGGAACAGAAATGAAGCCAGTGGATGGTGGACGACCTGTTATAAGACCCTCAGAGCAAAATGCTCCACCAGGAGTCCAAGAAAAAGAGAGACAGAAGCAGGAACCAAAAACACCCGTTGCCCCTAAAAAGGTGATATTATAACCAAGCACATCTGGAAAAGTAACATGCACCTAACCCTGGGAAATGTCATTTTGTAATGTGTATTACATTGGTATTATTCCTCCTAAATATTGTTTCCTGTCAGAAAGAGAACTTTTTAGTTCAGCATCTTTTGTTTTGCTTACCTAAAGACCGCATATTCTCATTGAAAGCACCTCCCCGGTATGAGATGAGCAAAACAGGTGTTTCTTATCAGATTTCCTCCCCCCTGTGCAGCTGCAGAATGCAGCAATATTAGGCTATACAGTGGCTTTAAAAATCCAGTAAATTAATACCAGCTCTCTTGCGACCAAATCAAAACAATATTCCTGTGTCTTAGCAAAGACTTAGGAAAAATAGCTGTCATGTGCTGGCAATTGTGCTGTAAGTTAGATGATGGGAATTGGGATGAAAATGCTGTGAAAATGAGAACAGGTTGAGCTCTTCTTAGCCGGAACTTTTCTGCGTCATAGAGTCAGTTGACTGACTTCTCATGTTGTTTTTACTACTCCAATTTGCCTTTGAGAATCTGTCCATTGCAAATCAATCTATACATGGATCTCTTTAAATTGGCATTTGCCTTCAGTAAACTTGTGGAGGAGTAATGCCTCTACAAACTTTTCCTTATGATGCTTTTGGAAATCTTTTAGTTTCCATGATCAAAATGACATTGTCCCTAATCTTCACCCTAAAAAATCAACTTAAGAATTTTCTGGTAGGGAAACTCTAAGTTTCCTCTCTTACACCACTTGAGCACAATTCACCCCTCTTATTTCTGTTTTGAACCAGGCTTTCAATAATAATAATTGCAAACTCCTTCTGACCTCAGTAAGACAGAAGGACTTTTTTTTTATCAGATCACCCAGTTTAAATTTTGTTACCTGTATGCAGTAGGAAACTCAAAAGGAGTGGTTCGTTTGCCCTTCTGTTTCATTTGCCAACCATACCACCACTTCAGTGCTCAGTCTGCCCTTTTTTCTCCACAGGACCTGAAGATAAAGAATATGGGCTCCTGGGCAAGTTTAGTGCAAAAGCATCCCGCTGCACCATCCTCTACGGCGAAATCAAGCAGTGACAGCTTTGAGCACTTCAGGAGGGCAGCACGGGAAAAGGAAGAGAGAGAGAAGGCTTTGAAAGCTCAGGCGGAGCAAGCGGAGAAGGAGAAGGAGCGGCAGCGGCGGGAGCAGGAGCGAATGAGGTGAGGAACCTGTGTCCTGCGGGTGGGCACTTTTCTCAACTTTCCATTATAGGCACTGTTTTTAAATGATGAGTTCCAGTGTCCTTTCAAAGTAAGTGGCTGACTTGGTTTCCTAAGCAATACCTTATGCATGGGCTATCCCAGGGCCAACGCTCCAAACACTATAGCAGGATAATGGAGTGAATCCCTCAGACAAGGCAACTCAGAGATGGACCCCAGGATTAATGTGGGATAAAAACAAAGGAAATGGAACTGTAGAGACAAGTCCTATCTCCTGCTCTAACAGGTATGAGAACAGGAGAAGCAAGTTGCTAAAAGAGTGGTTTACTCCCTCAGTCCCTTCCCAGCTTTCTCTGTAACCCTTGATTTCCCACACTGAAGCATAAACTATCTAGTAGGGCTTACTTCACCCAAAATAATCTTTATTTTGCTACTAGATAGCTGTTAATGTTTGGCCATGCTGCTGATAAAGAACCTATCTTCCTGATGACAGGGGGACATACTCACTGCAACTGAAATAATGCTTTCATTATGAAGGTTTTCTAGTCATTAATGTGAGAGCTCTTTTCATTTCCAGGATTGTTCAAGAAGGACAGTGGGCCATTGGACATTTTAACTAGCAATCTAGTTCAGCTTAAGAATGTGAAGCTTTCTATTTCTAGAACACTTGCCTCTCAAGTCCCCCCAAAATATTGCATGACTTGTTGGACCAGCAGTAATGGCTCAACAAAGTCCATAACAAGACAATTTTGCAAGCATAGTTTCAACAGGTATAGACGCAAAAGAAATCCTATCTGTGTTTTTAAACTTACTTGTTAAGCATGTTCACTATTAACCAAGTGTCCAGAAGTCTTCATTTGCTCAGTGGTGTCAGTGATTTCCTTGATGCTCTGACATGGATTCAGGGATCACTTGGTGGATTCAGTGGTGCTTCTGATTTTGAACAGGAGCCGTGAAGAGGAGGATGCACTGGAGCAAGCTCGCAGAGTTCATGAAGAAGTCCGGCGGCGCCAGGAGCAGCAGCAGCAACAGCAGCAGCAGCAGCAACAGCCCCAGCATCAGCCACCCCCGCCACCCCCACCACAGCAGCCCCAGCCCCCGCCGCAGGTGTCAGCCGCAGCCTCCGCTCCTCAAGCGCAGAGCTCTCAGCCCCACGCTTCTCAGTCCATGCTGGACCAACAGAGGGAGATGCTCAGAAAACGAGAGCAGGAACGAAGGCGCAGAGAGGCAGTAAGTGAGGGAGAGTTGGGGTGTGCATGGGGAGGCTAAATGAGAAATTACTGTTTTTGCCGCAACAGGGCATTTGCTTACTCTTGTGACAAGAGATTCCCAAGCTTTCTAAGAGTAGGCTTAAGTATACAAAGTTATCTTTGGATAAGTGCCATTGAATTCAGTGGACTCCTAAGCTTGCCCAGGTTTCTGCATTAAATTGGTAATAAATAATGTGTACCTTTCTCAATATAAATTAGATAAATTAAAATCCAGATCCTTTTAAAATACAGGAGAAGAGAGAAGATAGTCCATTTGATTTTTCTTTAGCCAAAGGAAGAAAAGCATTTGTGAAACAAGACAGATAGCATCGAGGGGGGTCTCTTCTAGAACTAGATGTCAAATGACATGTTAATTGAAACAATGTTACTGTTTTCTGGTTTTCCTCACCACCTCTGCATGTGTATGTCTTCCTCCTTTTTCTCTTCCTGTTTCATAATGAACATCACATTTTAAGATGTGTTTTGGACAGATTACATGGTTTTTATGGAATTGTTAGCATCTAGTATATAAGATAATAGAAAGAACCTGCAAAAATAAAATTCCCTGTGGTCTCTGTAAAATCACACATATGGGTCTTTCGTACATACACAGATGGTTTCAGAACTCTAGAAGCTTTTAAGTGCAACATTTTGACAGTCATCAGTAATCACCCATGTCTGAATCTGACTGCCTTCCAAGTGTAGGGTCTTGGCGGTGGGTCTGTAGGTGACTGTTTCTTTTGAGACCTATTCTTGATCAGCATGTTCTGCCACAGTGAGGATATCATTTCCAGGTGGAAGGTGGCCCCGGTCCCGGTTGGCTTGATACGCCTTCCTCTTGACATGTTTCTCCCTTTTCGCCCTCCATTTGTGCCTCTTCGAATTCCACAGCATTGTTGGTAACAGCTGACCTCCAGTTAGAACGCTCAAGGGCCAGGGCTTCCCAATTCTTGATGTCTATGCCAGAGTTTTTAAGGTTGGCTTTAAGCCTATCTTTAAATTTCTTTTCCTGTCCTCCAACATTCCGTTTTTCGTTCTTGAGTTGAGAGTATAGTAACTGCTTTGGAGACAAGAACTGGGCATTCAGACAACGTAGCCAGTCCAGCGAAGTTTATGGAGGATCATTGCTTCAATGCTGGTGATCTTTGCTTCTTCCAGCATGCTGACATTTGTCTGTCTGTCTTCTCAAGAGATTTGCAGGATTTTTCGGAGGCAACACTGATGGAATCATTCCAGAAGTTGAGTGTGATGTCTGTAGGCAGTCCATGTTTCATAGGAATATAACAGGGTTGGGAGGACAATAGTTTTATAAACAAGCATCTTGGTCTTCCTATGAATGCCCCAATCCTCAAACACTTCCTGCTTCATTCGGAAAATGCTGCACTCACAGAGAGCAGACAGTGTTGTATTTCAGTGTCAGTATTGACTTTTGTGGAGAGGTGGCTGCCAAGGTGACGGAAATAGCCAACATTTTCTAACATTACACCATTAAGCTGGATTTCTGGCTCTGCAGAGGGATAGATTGGTGCCTGTTGAAATAGCACTTTGGTTTTCTCGATGTTCAATGAGAGGCCAAGCTTCTCAAAGGCTTCTACAAAGGTGTTTAGAGTGGCTTGTAGATCTTCTGAATGAGAACAGACCACATTGTCATCAGCATATTGGAGTTCTATGTTGTTGTCACCTTGGTTTTGGATTTCAGTCTGCTGAGGTTAAATAGCTTGCCATCAGTCCGATAGCAATAACACATCCCTGTTTGATACCTGATTCCACCTTGAACAAGTCACTTTGAGAGCCACTGCTATCCAAGATAGTTGTCATCACGGAGGAGCCGCTGGATATTCACAAATGGGTGGGGCTACCACCAAATGTTGCACTTCAGAACTTCTGGAGAATTCTGAAACTATCTCCGCATACGCGAAAGACCCATATGTGCAATTTCACAGATGTCCACTTCAGAAACATGGTTAAAGATAAGCAACCTGTTCTTCTTTTCTAATTTCATCAGAAATGGGAGAGTTTGTATCTCCTTATGGTCCTATGGAGGCATATGCCTTAGTTGAATAGTAAAAAGCTATTATTCATTTATTAACTATTACTTTCTAATCTGTGGACCAGAAATTTCACGTAAGCAGTGTGTGTGTGTGTGTGTGTGTGTGTGTGTGTGTGTGTGTGTGTGTGTATAAAATATTCAGGGACTGGTAAACTTGTTTCCCTGTAAAATTGATAGATTTTGTTACTGGTGTCATTTTGCTAGTACTTCAGTAAGATAAAAAAAAATGCCAGATTGGAAAATGTGATAACCTCATTTATGTACCTCTTCATATATACCTACAAGCATTTTTAAAAAGTTGACAATCTCTCTCTTTTTTTTTCTTTCCCCTGTCCAGATGGCAGCTACTATTGACATGAATTTCCAGAGTGATTTGTTGGCAATATTTGAAGAGAATCTTTTCTAATGGCACCTAGTTTTCTTCGCCTGACTCCTTAATTTCCTGGCAAACCCTTGACTCTCCACAGTGTTGTTGGCGGCTGGGAGGAAAGCATTCCTGCAGCCTTTCTGCATGTGTGACAGTCGCGGCCTCGGATGGATGGATGGATCAGCAGAGTCTGCCTTACGATTTGACTTTCTCCCCCACCGGCCACCCCACCCCACCCCACCCTCACACACACATCACTGAAGAAAGAGAGACCAAGACAAGCCAACCCTGTGCTAGGTTTGAGTCTGTGGACATGAAGTCGCTGGGAAGGGTGCCCTGATCACTTGATATTCTCTATGCCAAACTTACTTGCAGTATATCCAGGACTTTATGCTGTTCACCCTTTTTCTATTCAGAAGCGTTCTGGGTCACAGAATGTCTTTGACTCTCCAGTGCTATGTGCCGGCAGCACAAGACACTCTGCATGGAGAGGCAGTGTACAGGAAGAATCTGCCTGGGGTCCAGCAGGGAAGACACACAAGCCGTTTGGGGCCCTTTCATCACTGGCTTTGCCTTTAACTAAACTTCCCGCAAGCCTCTGGGAGCCATTCTCTGTAAGTGTTCGCTTGTGAAAAAGGGAATAATTTAGTGGAGGTGTCAAGTGTAACTGGCCTTTTGAGTGAGGTTTCTTGTTTAGCATTGTGCGGAGGTCCAGGAATCTGAGCTAGACTACCAACCAAAGTCAGTTTCTTTCCGTCTGTTTATTTTCCTCCATACAAATTGCCACCGCTCGACTCCTGAGTGGATATTCTTGTCTCTTCATCACAGAGTGGAGTGGAGTGGGGAAAGCATTAGCACCAGGGGAAGCGACCACCCTGTCAATAGTGTTTGACTGTGGCTGTATTGTATAGTGAATATAGTTGGCATATATTTGTTTGAGTTTTATTGGTGAACTCACCAAACTCTGTAAAGACACTGCTTATATTTTGCTCAGTTCCAGACTTTTAGTCTATATTTTTAACTGTAATACAAAAAAAAAGTACATTTTGGGTTTTTTAATGTCATGGAGTCTGTTAAAAATTAGTTTTTATACAGCAAAGGAGCAGCTCTGAAAGCTGGGAGCAGATTTGAATCAGCAGGAAAGAAGACCTGCTCCTTTTGTCTTCGGTTGAGTCGTCTTTCACTGTCAGTTATCATTTTCCCAGCACCGTTCGCGTGTTATTTTAATTTTGCTCTTTGACTTGTTCCACGTTTATGTGCCATAAATACCCACTATACAGTACAATACTGGTGTGTCAGTATTGGCCAATCTCTGGAGTAATTAATTGGTTTTACTTTAATACGGTGAATATGCATTTGGTCTGTACTGATCATGGAATAAACTCATCTCTTCTTTTTTAAAGTTGGTGTCGTACTGACATTTTTCTTTCAAATTCTGCTTGTGCTGAAATGATCTAAGAAGTAAGGCTACAGAGCATAGCATGTTCCTTCCAGCTGTCTTGCTTTAGCGGGGAAAGGTGTTCTCCAGTCACAATAAGCAGAGTTTCTATCTTGTAATCAACATAGCAAAGGTTTAGCCCTGAGAATAGTAGTACTAAAACAAGAAAATTCCATAGAAATGGAAAAAGACAAGCAGTTTAGTGCCTTCTCAACATAGACTTGGTTTCACACCGTAGCACTAAGCCAAATATAGGAGAACACATAGATACTGGTCTCAGTGACTCTTCTTCCTGCTGTGGTAAATCTCAAAGAGAGCATGATGTAGCTTCTGGCAGCAAAAATTCCCCACTTCTATGTGAACATTTGTCTTAATTCTTCTGAATGATATTCCTCCAAACCTTGGACAAGGCCCACGTTATCAGCAAGCTTTCCTTTCAAGCTTCGCTGAGCTATATAAGATTAAGGGCATATGGATTAGTTGATGCTGACCCATGAGAAACAACTGAATACAGAGAAGGGTGGAGGGGGGGAGTCAGCATTTCAATTTCCAATTCTTATGATCCACACATGTGTTCTGATGAGAACTGCTGGCCAAAGGATTCGACAGTTCAGAGCTTACAAATAGCGTTGGTCTTGCTACTTCTCTTGACAAAAATGAGTGTTCTGGCTTTAAATTGTCTTTAGCCTGGGTCTGTGGCATTGGGCTGTCAATGAAACACTGTTAACACGGTGTGCTTATTCTTGCTAAGCCCATTGCTGAGCAAGTGTAGAGAAAATTGTCACTCTTGTCTAAAATCTCAGCCAACATCACTTCAGAACCTTCAGCCAAAAATTTAAGCCCACCATCATCTCTCCTCTTTGCTCCCATGAGATTACAATAGTGTAGCCAGTAAAGACTCTGCCTAGTTGGTGACTAGTAGGCCTAATTCAGAGATCAAATCAACCTTGTGTTACATAATCCATACATGACGAAGAGGGCAGAATTGAATATAACATAAAGTTAAGTACCTATATTTCAGACTATCCACAAGTCCATCCTGCTATCCTTATATTGGAAGAAGTGAAATGGGATGCCTAAAGAAGTCAAATTTGCCTATAGTGAACATTATTATTGAAACTTACAGTCCTTTCCAGCCTTGTTCTCAGATCTCTTGACAGCAGAAGGGACATGTCAACTTCTGCACAGCATCAAGACTGTAGGCCGTCACTGCCACATGGTATGTGGTAGATCGCGTGTTCTCTGTTCTCAGTCCGACTTGGTCTTTCAACTTGCAGCTGAATCTTTTGCCCTTAAACAGCAGAGATGCATGATTGCATATCAGTATTGATAATTCAGTATAGCCGCCATCTACTGAGAGGGCAAATTGAATTTAAGGGCCAGTGTTTCTTTGGCATTCTTGTGAGCAGTCAATCACCATGCTGAACTTTTACCTCAAGGTGCCTTTCAATTCTACATCATTAGAAGATCCCTGCGCTTTTCTGTGTAAAGTCCTAGATGGTTGGGTACTTTAAGAAAGATGGCGGATGGAGCAGAATTCCCCAGACAGCTTTTCCAAAGGCTATTTGGCTGTATCTTGCTAAAAGCATCTGAGTAGGTGATTATTACAGCTTTCTACTAGAGTGCTTTGTTTAAGCAAGTAACATCTTTACTGTGCAGTCCTTCTTCCTGGTAGGTATCATTCTTGAGAAAGCCAGCAGACGTCTGCCCTTTTGTCTCCAAGCACAGCTAGTTCATATCAGAAGCAAACTAGACTCGCAACCTTAGATTTGAAAATAGAGTGGCGTGATCAGCAAGATGCTGGGTTCCTGACAGCAGCATCCAGTCCTGGAGTTGCCACTTGCTTGGAAGCATGTTGTGGTTCCTTTTCTAGACCAACATAAAGGCAGTCTCAGCATGCTGGATTGTGTGAAAGAATAGCTTCCATCCTTGAATTGCTGGGCATCATCTCTTTGGAGCAGATTAAATGTCCAGATCACATCAGTTCTTTACAAAAGCTTAGTTGGTGGATTAGCCCTTGATTTTAATCTGTATCCCAGGAACTGTCAGGAAAAGGGGGCTCGTATAACTATAGCTGCAAACATGCTTAGATAGCAAGAGCCCCTTGCATCCCCCTTTCTTCCCTGTGTCCCCAGGCGCATCCTCTCTACCACAGGTTCATACAACTGGCCTTAATCTTCTCTTCTTGGCTCTTCGGCAAATTCATAATGTGGAGGTGGGACTTCTGCTTCCCCTCTGAACGTGTTCTGACCCCCACGTTTTCATTGTTAGCCCTTTCTCACAGTATTCCTTGCCCCCACATCTCTCCTCCCCACCCTGCCACCTTTTTTACGAAGCACTTTGGATGATCATCTCCCTCCTTTAATTTTAAGCTCAGGGTTTTTGGGGTACTTTACGTGCACATCCGCTGTAAGAGTGAATCACATGTGAGCTCATCGCAAATTGTACATAATGGAATTGCACCATACTGACAAAAATGAAAGGCATAAGAAAATGGAGATGCTGGAACTTCTACCAAGAGAGCACCCTCAGTTGTAAAATTTTGAAAGTATATAATTTATATGTATGCAAAGAACAACACCCTCTGTGTTCAGTCAGTAGTAGTCCTTTTTTTAATGTTTAACCCTCTTTTTGCATTGGACACTTGCCAAACCTTTCTTGTCAGTAGTTGAGAGTTCCAAGTAGTGGTAGCCTTTTTTTAGATTGGTGGCTTACTCAGCTGTCTCGTTCCTCTTACTCCTTTCTTCTACTCTCTTTCTCTTTTGCAAATTTCTTGAAATGTTTACAAGCTTGCACCTATCTACTTTAATTTTTTTTTAAAGCTGTACTTGGGCTTTTTATTTTCACACATTTCTGAATGATGAACATAGAATGGTATCATTAGTTGGAGAATGATTCTTTTTTTCTGCCAAAGGTATTTTTTTGCAATTCTTGTGTTTTATTTTTCTGTTTTTATGAGATGTTTTGTGTTTATAATTTGGTTGTCATTCAGACTGAGACATATTTAATTTCCCCCTCTTCCCTCATCCCCATTGTATGATTTTAACAATTACAGATATTAGCTGTAGGAGTCTAGCCTAAATGATGTATCTTGGTTATTTTTTCCTCCCTTCTTTGGTCCTGTACAAATGAATTAAGAGAAACGTACAATCCCTTGTACTTAATGCACGGAACGCTTGGCAAATAATTATGTCAGTGAATTTGAAACTTGTATTAAACACTTTAGACATTTGTAGAAGGGAATTCATAGAGTTTTCACTTATATACTAAAGGTTTTTTGTGCGGTTCTCATTGCAAAAATAAACATTTGTACTGAATATATGAAGTTAACTTTTTTCTTTTATCTTTCCCTCTGGGCCTTGGGTGTATTGGTGGTTGGGCCTTCATATTAAAAAGACATCTGTCAAGTTCTAGAAATAAGCTATTTATTTATCGTATCAGGAGCGAACCAAAGGTACAGTTGTAATGTATTTAAACACAAAGTTGAAAAACTTGGCAATGCACTAAATGTCATTTGACCAGTAGCTGGCCACTTGAGAGTACCTCTGGTGTTGCAATAAGAAGGTCCTCTATTGTGTATGTGGTGGGGCTCAGACTGCATTGTAATAGGTGGTCTGTAGTTTGCTCTTCTCCACACTCACATGTCGTGGACTCCACTTTGTGGCCCCATTTCTTAAGGTTGGCTCTGCATCTCATGATGCCAGGCCGCAGTCTGTTCAGCGCCTTTCAAGTCACCCAGGAGGGAGTCTCTCATTTGGTGTCAGCCATTGATTGGGGTTCTGGGTTTTAGCCTGCCACTTTTGGACTCTCACTTGTTGAGGTCTTCCTGTGAGTATCTCAGTAGATCTTAGAAAACTGTCTTGATTTAAGGTGTCGGCATGCTGGCTAATATCCAGACAGAGGATGGGCCGGAGATGTCACTGCCTTGGTCCTTTCATTATTGGCTGCTACTTCCTGGCAGATGTCAGATGGTGCAGTACCAGCTTAACAGAGCAATTTCTCCAGTAGTGTAGGGCACAGACATCCTGTGATAATACAGCATGTCTCAAGAGACACATCTATCTTAAAAATCAGCTTAGTCCCCTCAAAATGTATATTCTTCTTTTAACAAATCCTTATGTTTAAAAGATTGTCAAACACTTCAGTTTTCCAAATTATTAAATATCCTCAGCCTTTTCATATTCAGAGACACTACCAACACAATCCATAGCCTCGGTACAATACTAAAACCAGGAATAAATAACTCCTGCACTTATAATTCCTGGTTCTCAGCCAGTTTAAACTGAGTAATTATGAAACTAAGAGCATAAAACTTGCATCGACAATATTTATTTATTATTTACGACATTTATAGCCCACCTTTCTCAACCATACGGCGACTTGAGCACAATAATTATTGGTGCCTACTGTCTCCTGGCATATCATACATACATTTCCTTGCCATTGTGAAATAGAAAGCTCTCCGTACAAAGGCCAATGTGATCACATCAAGCATGCAGTAATGCATGGTTTGCAATCAACCTTGCTCATTAAGAAATGTACCTTCCATACCAAGACAACTGTGTAAACAAGAAATGTTAAATGGTCAGATTTTTATTCTGAACTCTGATCACTCTTGTTTGTAGGTTTTCAGCAAATTACCTTCCCTTCAAAGGAAATTTGGAAGCTTGGAGATATCCTGTTCTTAGTCCCTCTTGCATATCTTTACAATAAATTGGTTTGATCCTACCATAGGGAGGGTTTTTTAAAATTAATATGGCCAACATCAGACAAAAGTGATGGCAGCTATGGATGTGGGATATTTCTCCACAATCCATGATGACCAAGATGAGACTGAGAGAAAAAAGTAAGGCAATCCATCTTCTTACCTGCCTTTTAAAAATATTTTCTTGCCATTCTGAGGCTGATACTTCTCATAGAAACTGCTTTGGAAGCCAAAGTGAAAAATATGTCCCATGCTATTTGGGGGCAGGATAGAAAAGTAACATGCTTTCAAAACCTCTCTTGGGATGATGTGAAATTGGGAGAGTCCTGAATCAACCCCCCCCCCCCCAATTTAAAGTTAAAGATTAATGATCTCTTAGATAATATTACCTGATATTACCAGACACAGCAATTGTAGACCCACATGCAACCTGAAAAAGACATCAGAAGCATATGAGTGATGGTGTTACTTCCTGCCTAGGATGTATCAAGTTTCTGAAAATATTTCCACAGGCAAAAAATGTATATAGTGTTGTGTGTGTATATAGATAGATAGATAGATGATAGATAGATAGATAGATAGATAGATAGATAGATAGATAGATAGATAGATAGATAGATAGCATACATTAAGGATGGTATTATAAATACTAGCCTAGTGAAATGTTTATTAATCATTCAAGCTGATATGTTAAACAAGTGTAAGACACTTGTGCTAAAGATTTTCAATGGGATATGCAAGTAAGCTGCTCGCTAGCACTCAAATATATTCTTTGTGTTTTTCCCCTGCCATCTTCAGAAAAAGACATTGCCCAAGGGGTGTATTTTGCTGTTACCCTCATCAGAATGGAGTGATTACTTTGCTGTTACTAACACATTATAACACAATTCTGCTCCTATGGGTGTCATAAACAAGAGTGAATTTTGACCCCATAAAAGGAGATTCAACCAAGAAAACTCCAACAAAAGAAATGGCAAGTTTAAGATAATGATTAAAGCCATGCCTAGACCTCCATATTTTTTATTTTGCCTTTCTTGCTTCCAGCGAATGGCTACCATGTCACAATGGAATAGTGGTAAGAGATGCTACAGCTGGCAGAATTCGTCTCCCATTCAATTCTAAAAGGTTCAGTGATCTTGTCAAAGGTTTGGCACCAGGTATATCCTTTGGCGTCCCTGCCTATTGGTGCTTCCTTTCTGCCAAGAGCACTCAGCTCCTTCTGTTTCGAGGCCCTTGTGAGCTTGTGCCATGGCCCAGCTTTAACCTTGCTCTTTTATTGTTCCCAACATCAATTCCTTCATTGACTCCCACCTTTCGAGATAGCTGCCTACCCCTATTCTGGAGATACACGTTTCCTCAGTGGTCGTTTAGTATTCCAGCCTTGAATTCCTAGCCTTCTTATCTCACTTTGCAGTGGTACTCTGTATATGCCTTCCTCATGATAAACGCTGTGGAGTTTCTAAAGTACCTATCTCCTTAACATTTTCTTGTCCAAGTTCTTTGTCTCTGTGTTTTCAAGTCACTCATGATCTTGTTTCTCCAACTACGGTTGGCCCACTCTATCCACTGGGGTTTGGTTGCAGGATTCCTCATGGATACCAAAATCTATGGACGCTGAGGTCCCATACAATGACATAGTAAAATGATGTCCTTTAAAATGGAAAAAAACAGGATTTTTGGATGATTATTTTTTAAAAATACCATCAAGTCATGGATGGTTGAATCTATACATCCAAGGATATGCATTACTACCTTTCCTTTGCTACCCATTTCCCTAACTTGCTTTTCTTTTGTTGCCTAATTACCAGAACAGGTTGCACTCCTCCAACTTCCAGCATTTTTTGCCAGTGCTGCAGGCCAATGGATTCTTTTTACTTTTCTTTGAATTTTCCCCCAATCCTCAGATGCTTCATAGTTGAGCACTGTTAACTCCATTGCTTACATATACAGGATTTTGGCTATTCCTTTTGAAAAGATACCATTGGACTGCAAACCAAAAAAGCCCTTTTAATTTATGTTGGCTAGGGAGGATGACAGATGTAGGCCAAAGCATTTGGAGCACAACAAGGACCCATCCCTGCAGTAAACAACAAAAGCCCTCATGATAAAGCTGCAGTTGAGCAACCAATTATAAATAACCAGCAACCTCTTTGCGGCAGTGTTGTTAATCCAGTGGGGCAAGAGGTTGATTAGAAAAGGCATTCAAAGTAATGTTTCAAAATAAACTGAACGTAAGGATTGAAAAGCTGTTGCAAATAGGGTGCTCACTTCCATACTTTGGATTCCTCAAGCCTCCAACTGTTGACCTCATTAACACAAAATGTGAGTCCACACAATTAGTTCCACTGCCATCATAAACATTTATTTACTTAGATTGGCAATGGCCCTTGGGCCAGACTCCTGAAATGTGCTACACTTCATACCAGGTGCATGATCTCTTTCTCAGTCTCTGTCTCCAGAGAACCAGTGTGCTGAGGCAATTTGACCACTAAACTGACTGGAGACCAAGGTTAAATTCCCCACTTAAGTCATGGAAACCCATTGGGCAAGTCACACTCTTTCAACCTTAGAGGAAAGCAAACTGTTATCTTAACACACCTTGCCAATAAAATCCTGTGACAGGCTCCCTGCAGCGTCACCCTGTCACAAATCACTTGGTCATGTTGTCAAAAACCGGACCCCAAAATGATGAACCACACAGGCCAATGACTCCATAGGGATGAATTAGGGAGCGCATGTGAACTTCATTCCTAGTTTCTGAATTATTTTCATTAAGCCCCCTGGAATGGTGAACACATACCCTACACACTTCAGACTTCAGCGGACAGTGACACCTGAGTATTATTACCTCAAAATGCCCTGGGAAGACATAATGGATTTACACAACAGCCTCTGCGTCTTTTCCTGATTTTTCTGATATGGTCCAACTTATTCCTGGGAATGTTTCCTGATCCCCATCACCATACCAGACCCCTCCCGGGGCATGCATTGAGCATCCATTCCCTGGACTAGCACTCGCTGTATTAACTGGAGCTGCGATATCAAAACCCATTTCAGCTCATCATTGCCCGTCCCACTGCGTTGCTTTCCGATCACACACCTTTCCCAGCTGGATCAATAAATAGACACGTATCTTCAAAATGATCCAATGACAGTTTATCAAAGTTTCCCACCACGTAAAGTACCAACCAGTTATGACATTGGCCAGAGTCCATGTATATACTCACATATAAGTCTAGAAATCTTAGCCAAAACAACAGATCTACCTGTCTATCTATCTCTTTTAGAGATGTTTATCCAACATGGTAGAGTGGTTTGAGCATTGAACTATAAGTCTATAGGCCAGGATTTGAATTTCCTCTCAATCATGACAATGCACTGGGTGACCTTGCAGAAGTCACACTCTCTCAGCCTCAGAGGAGAGCAACAATAAAGCCTTGCTGAAGAAATATTGCTCAGAAAACCTTGCAATATGTCTGCCATAAACAGTAAAGGACTTGAAAGCACACAACAAATGTTTTTGATGAAAATGCCATATACCAGTATTTAAAAACTCTAAAATTATAACAGTAAATAAAGAACAAAACTCAAACGTGGGGGACTCCAGACAAAAAACAATCAGGAACACCTAGTCACCTCTCAACAAAGGATTCTCCTAGGCAGTCACAAGCCACACCTAAAAACTGTCAGATCATCAAATGCTAATCAAGGTGGCCAGTTGAAACGTTCACACCTCCCTCCAACAGACAAGAGTTCTTTCTCCCACCCTGGACTTTCCATAGATATATAAACCCAATTTTCCTAGTTTCCAACAGACCTCACAACCTCTGAGGATGCCTGCTGCAGATGCAGGCAAAATGTCAGGAGAGAATGCTTCTGGAACATGCTTATAGAAAAACATACCCAATGTCATATACATAGGGCTCATACACACTCTCTCTCTATACACATACACACATGTATGCATTCATATATACACATACATATACATACGCACATGCCATATTTCTAAAATTATAAGGCATGATCAATAAGATGCACTCTAATTTCAGTACCACCAACAACAAAAAATGCACAAAGATACACTTGCAATTCTAAGATGCAGTCCATTTTTAGACACATTTATATAGGGAAAAAACTGTGTCTCAGAACTGAAGAAATACAGCATATATATATATATATATATATATATATATATATATATATATATATATATATATCGTCCATACACTATACGACAGACTCCCAGTTAACTGGAATTAAAACAACAGGAACTCTCAAGCAACGGGCAAAATAATCAAAACATAATAAAGTTTACGTAACAATTAAAATATTTTTAAAGCAAAAATGTAAGTTGAAGCTAAGTTTGTCTCCAGATGTAGTTGCATATAGATCAGGCATGGGCAAACTTGGGCCCTCCAGGTGTTTTGGACTTCAACTCCCACAATTCCTAACAGCCGATCAGTACAGATCAATAAATTGTACATTACACATCTTATCTATCTATCCAGGATGTCTCTTTACCAGATTATATAAGGTTCCTCCCCAATTTGCATATGCTTACAGAGCGGTGTATGGGGCACTTCCTGCCCTTCCGCCCTCCCAGGTAGAGCTTTCTTTCTCTTAAAGGTGCCGGAGAGAGGCAGGTCTGCTCGGGGCGCATGCGCAGTGTTGTCTCCGCTGCTTTGCGTCCCCCGCGCCTTGCAGCTGGGCGGGGGAGGGGCCTCCGCTGCCCTTAAAGCACGACAGAAGCGGAGGGACGGAGGTGTGGACGCCGCTGAAGCCTTCCCGCTGAACCGCCGGGCGCTGGAGGTCAGGGCGCAAGATCCGGGTAACCTTTCCGACCGCATTGGCTGGCTTTTGGGCCAGTCTGGGAATCAAGGAGCCCAGGATGGCCATCTGTCGGGAGGGCTCTGCTTGCACATCAGAATGGGGTTGGACCGGATGGCTTGGCCGAGGGGAGTGGAATGGAGGGGAGGGGGGTTTCTTCAAATTCTAGGAGTCTGTGAAAAAAATGCTTTTCATAAATAGTGGCAGAATGGAGTTGGACTGGATGGCTCTTCCAATTTTAGGATTCTGTTTGAGAAAATAATCTTTTCACAACTCAAATCACTTTGACTTGACTACACTGCCTCCAGCACTTGAGTGGTGGGCTGGGGTTGCCCGAAGTTTGGGGCCAATTTGCAGTGATCCAGTGGTTCTCAGCCTGTGGGTCCCCAGATGTTTTGGCCTTCAACTCCCAGAAATCCCAACAGTTGGTAAACTCAGTTCTTGTGGGTTTTTTCGGGCTATATGGCCATGTTCTAGAGGCATTTCTCCTGACGTTTCGCCTGCATCTATGGCAAGCATCCTCAGAGGTGAGGTCTGCTGGAGCCGGGGAAAAAAGGGGTTTATATATCTGTAAACTATCTGGGATTTCTGGGAGTTGTAGGCCAAACCACCTGGGGACCCACCGGTTAAGAAGCAGTGATGGATGGAGGGTGCATCTTGACTCCAGGCAACTGCTCTGGCTCCATGCCACTGGGGTTTGTAGTCTGCACTCCTTGGCTGGCAGAGAAGGCTGGAGGTTTGACTGCAGAGTGTATAGAGAGGCACCTTGTGATCTTTGCCCTTCTGGCAAAACTCCCACTTGGCGTGAAGCCGGCTCCGAACGCCCTGAATTTGGAGAGGCCCCTGGAGCTTCAGAAGAAGATTTGGCCTCATTCCCATTTGCCCTTCTTTTGTGCCAAGCAACAACAACAACAACAACAATAATAATAATTTCTTTTATATACCGTCTTATCTCCCCAAAGGAACTCAGGGCGGTGAACAACAAAGTCAGAAAACAGTTCAGCAAAGTCAGCAAACTTTCATAGGAAGGGACTAGCAAAACCACGCCTGAGTATGAGGAAATGTGTCTTCAAGTCACTTTATACCGACCTCATCAATTCCATAAGCAGGGAATACTCGGGCATGGTTTTGCCAGTTCCTTCCTATGAAAGGAAGCTTTCCTCGGTGGTCTCCCACCCAAGGAATAACTACTGCTGACCCTACTTAGCTTCCAAGATCAGAAAGCCTCTGATGTCTTTGAGGTATTTTAGGCCTAAGGTAAAGGTAAAGGTTTCCCCTGACATTAAGTGCAGTTCTGGCAGACTCTGGGGATTGCTGCTCATCTCCATTTCTAAGCCAAAGAGCCGGTGTTGTCCATAGACACCTCCAAGGTCATGTGGCCAGCATGACTGCATGGAGTGCTGTTACCTTCCCACCGAAGCAGTACCTATTGATCTCACATTTGCATGTTTTCGAACATGTTAGAAGCTGGGCCTAACAATGGGAGCTCACCCTGCTCCCTGGATTCGAACCACCGGCCTTTCGGTCAGCAAGTTCAGCAACTCAACAGTTTAACCCGCTGCACCACTAGGAGGCCTATTTTAGGACTGTGCAGGGCTATATATATTGGCTGCAGAGTTTGTCCTTCTTCCCCTAAGATCAGATGGGATCTGGTGCCTTTTGAGTATTCATAATAATAATATTATAATACCTTATTTCTAGACCGCCCTCTCTCCCCGAGGGGACTCAGGGTGGTTTGCATACATATAAAAAGACAAACCTTCAATGCCGTAATTAGACTCACAGAATTAGAAACCCTACATCAAAGCATTCCCTGCTGACACTTGTAGACTTGTGCACAGCTCTGCCTTCTCTTACCTTTATAAGCCAAAGAAGGGGCTGTATCCACCCAAGAAAGCTTGCTGCCCTCTCGGTGTGCAGAGATAGAAGCACAATTGAATTTGTTGTGTCCAGCTCTACCTCTGCAACCAATGCCAAATATCCACAAGGAAATGGGCACCTGGCTTTATTGGGGAGCTTGCCATTTGTTGAAGAGCTTATTATAAAGGGTGCATTTACACCGGGCATGTGGAAACTTCAGCCCTCCAGGTGTTTTGGACTTCAGGTCCCACAATTCCTAACAGCTGGGTTTGGTTTTTTTTGTGTGTGTGTCAGGGCCAACTTGAGAAACTGCAAGTTGCTTCTAGGGTGAGAGAATTGGCCGTCTGCAAGGACGTTGCCCAGGGGACGCCTGGATGTTTTGATGTATTACCATCCTTGTGGGAGGCTTCTCTCATGACCCTGTATGGGGAGTTGGAGCTGACAGAGGGAGCTCATCCATGCTGTCCCCAGATTAGAACCTCCGACATGTTGGTCTTCAGTCCTGCCGGCACAAGGGTTTAACCCTACCAGAAGCTCCGGTAGGAATTGTGGAAGTAGAAGACCAAAACATCTGGAGGGCTCAAGTTTGCCCATACATGATCTACACTGCAAAATCAATGCAGTTTGACCCCACTTCCCACTGTCATGGCTTATAAGAATTGTCGTTTGGTGAGGCACCAGCCCTCTTTGCCAGAGAAGACTAAAGGCCTTGTAAAACTACAACCCCGCATGATTCCACAGCATTGAGCCATGGCATTTCAAGTGGTGTCAGACTGCATCCTTGCGTGCTTTAAAGCTGAATCCTTCCTTTGCAGCCCTGGGATCGAAGGGGAGCACGATGTCTCTCTACAGCTCCTTATTGATTCCAACTCGCCTGGTGCTGAAGGCCTCGAAGGCCATGATTGGGCTGGGGATGTACAGCCTGGCTTGCCTTTCGGCTGCCTTCAACCTCTCCTGGGCACTCTGGCTGCTGCTGACCAGGGGCCCCCGGTGGGTGTTTCACAAGAGAACGCGGGAGGCGCCCCCCAGCTGCCTCACGGACACCACTTATGGGGAACACCGCTACCTGACCCTCAAGGTGAACAGACGAAGAAAAGAACCAATTGCCCTTACGGGGGGTGCTATTCAAAGGGAAGGCAAGATCTTGAATGTTGGCTGGTGCATTTGAAAGTTTGGGGAATACCTAAGAAACAAGCCACTCATGTTAGAGTGCATGTCTGTTGAAGAGGGGATCCAGTTTGAGCCCACTTTCACTACCATTGGCTCAGTGCTACGGAGTCCTGGGATTTGTATTTTGGGATGCAGCAACACTCTTTGGCAGAGGAAGTGAAAAGCATTAGAAAATTATAACTCACATGATTCCACAGCACTGAAACATGGTCGTTAAAGTGGTGTGAAACTGCATTAATTCTTCAGCCTAGGATGAAATATTAACCAGGTTGCTGCCAGTTTTCTGGCTGTATGGCCATGTTCCAGAAGCATTCTCTCCTGACATTTCACCCCCATCTATGGCAGCCATCATCAGAGGTGTGAGTGAGGTCTGTTGGAAACTGGGCAAGTGGGGCTTATATATCTGTGCAATAATGTCCAGGGTGGGAGAAAGAACTCTTGTCTGTTTGAGGCAAGTGTGAATGTTGTAATTGGCCACCTTGATTACCATTGAATGACCTTGCAGCTTCAAAGCCTGGCTGCTTCCTGCCTGGGGGAATCCTTTGTTGGGAGGTGTTAGCTGGCCCTGATTGTTTCCTGTCAAGAATTCCCCTGTTTTCTAAGTGTTGATCTTTATTTACTGTCCTGATTTTACAGTTTTAAAAATACTGGTAGCCAGATTTAAAAATACTGGTAGCCAAAGGACCAAATATAAAGACTCATGGCTTTCGAACAGCAACAGAGATCCTTTCCAAAGAACCCACTTGTAACTGGAGATAATGGGGATTGCATTTGGGGCCTATATTATACAAAACACATATTTTATCACTGGGTGGCAGTCTCTTGTCAAGGAGAAGGTGCCCTGGGCAAAGCCTAGGTGTAACTCTTCTATTTCTCTGTTTTGGGGATTCAAGCACTCAGGGCTGCGCCTCCACTATGTCATCGCAGGCCAAGAAGGTGCACGGCTCATGCTTTTCTTGCATGGCTTTCCTGAGAACTGGTAAGTGTGGAAGAAGTATATGGAAATTGGGGGGGGGGGGGTGGGAAAGAAGGTTGATACCTGTTCTCTCCGATGTTGTTCTTGTAAGCGACAGGTGATGTGTCCATGTGAGTCAGTCACATGGTATCTAGTTTATATGACCCACGCTAAGTTATTAGCACATCCTTTGACTATAATTATGCAACATTTCATTTGGTTTCAGTCATGTGCTGAATGACATGTAAAAGCAAAACAGTTGACAGTCAACAAATTTAGAATAGGAAAAACAAATGACTGGTTATTTTTGTTTGTTTGATCTGTCTTCTGCCTTTCTCCCAAAATTCCACTGTAAGTTTAAAAACGCTTCAGTGAAAACAAATGAATTATACATATTGGAATAGAAAATAAATATATTCAATTGGGTTGCTGTTTTCCAGGCTGTATGGCCATGTTCGAAAAGTATTATCTCCTGATGTTTTACCCATATTTATGGCAGGCATCCTCAGAGGTTGCGGGGTGTGTTGGAAACTAGGCAAGTGAGGTTTCTATATCTGTGGAATAATGTCCAGGGTGGGAGAAAGAACCCTTGTCTGCTTGAGGCAAGTGTGAATGCTGCAGTGGGCCACCTTAATTAGCATTGAATGGCCTTGCAGCTTCAAAGCCTGGCTGCTTCCTCCCTGGGGGGAATCCTTTGTTGGGAGGTGTTAGCTGGTCCTGATTGATTCATGTTAGCAATTCCCCTGTGTTCTGAGTGTTCCTCTTTCTTACTGACCTTATTTTACAGTTTTTAAAATGCTGGTAGCCAGATTTTGTTTGGAAATCAAAATTAAACAAGGGGAGAGAAAATTTAGATGAAGATTAAATGGATATCTATTAAAATCAGAGGAAGACATCCTAAAGAAGTTTGTAGAATAGTTTATGATACTGGTCTATGGAGAAGGGAAAAGAACAGAGAAAGTGATGATGACTTGGATATTTGTAGCTTGGGAAGCTCTCTCTGTACTTATCCTCTTTATAGTTTGGGGCAAACCAAGAATGAGCAACTTGGAAGTCCCTGAACATGGAGTTGGCAGATCAAAAGACAACCTGGCTAACTGGCTCGACCTAGAAGAATCCTCCCCCTGGTACGACTGTGGAGCAGAACAAACAACTCAGCACCTGTAGGCTTGCCCACAATGCCCTGCCTCATGCACAGAGGAAGAGTTGTTTAAAGCTACAGATACTTGTTTATTTATGCAATGCTTTTGACACGAAATAAATAAAATGGTTTGGATTTATCAAAACAGGTTTATGTGGCATCATCAACTGAAGGAATTTAAGCAAGCATTCAAGGTGGTCGCCATTGATCTCAAGGGCTTTGGTTTTTCCGATGCACCTCCTGGTCTTGAACACTATAAGAGGGATGTCTTGATGGAAGATATACGAAGTGTTGTTGAAGCCCTGGGATCCAGCAAGAAGGATGGTGAGAAGGGAAACAGTTATAATCACAATAGAGGGAAGGGTGCTAATATACCAGCACTACAGGGACTTGTTGGTCATCAATGAATACATTTCTTGGTTGGGTTGGATGGATAGTTATGGGCCTTGCAGAGTGTGTCTGTAAGTTTGGGAAAGTTCTATCTGGCTTGTAGCATTGTGCACATCAGTAGCTGTGTGTTGGTCTTTTTTGTTTTTATCCTTTAGCATCTGCTAAGTGCATCCTGTTAGGGCACGACTGGGGTGGATGCCTTGCCTTTGAATTTGCTGCCACATACCCAAACATGGTGGAGAAACTAGTTGTCTTGAACGGTGTTCAATCACATGTTCTAGCAGGTAAGACTACTTTTGTCCTGCATTTCTCCGCTCACAATGGTCATGCCCAGGTTTTGACATATTTTAACACCAGATCCCAAATTGGGCAAAAGATTGAGAGGCCTAACTCTGCTAGGGGCATTCTGCTCAAGAAGCAATGGTCCACTTTCACCACAGTACATAAAAATGATAACAATTATAATTAATGAAATCAAAACAGACTAAAAACATTACTAATGATACCTTCAAATGAACAAAGCAAGCTAAGGGTACACCTGCATTGTAGAATTAATGCAGTTTGACAGCACTTTCATTGCTGTGACTTAGTGCTGTGAAATCCTGGGATTTGTCGTTTCATGAGCACTCATTGACAGAAACGGCTGAAGACCTTATACTATAATTACAATTGCTATGGTTTCTTAGCATTGAGCCATGGCAGTTAAAAGTAATGTCAAATATGCTGTCAAACCACATTAATTATACAGAATAGATACATCCTAAGAATGCAACTATCCATTTGAGTAGGGCAAAGGTTACCAATATGTGGCCTTACAAAAATTGAACTGCAGCTCCCATCATTCACATTATAATTGACTTTGCTGCCTAGGACTGATGGGAGTTCGATTCCACCCATATCTGGAAAGCCTGGAAAAATAGAAATGTTATCCTTGGTGCCTCAGTTACAGTCCGCCAAAACTGAGTCTTCTGGATTTGGGGCTGTATAACATGTAACATAATAATGCCAGCTTGTCACAACGTATGTTTTCTCTTGATGTGGCAGAATACATGCCCCGGCATCTCAGCCAGCTGCTGAAAAGTGAATACATGTTCCTGTTCCAGCTTCCCAAACTGCCAGAGTTCCTGCTGTCTTTGGATGACTTTCTTGTGAGTGGGGATAAGATTTGGAGTGGGGATGTCAGTCCATGGTCTGCCCCATTGGGAAGTTAAGCTTGATGTAGTAATATAGTGGGCTCTTGCTTTCCTCTGGGGTTTAGTTCCAAGACTCCCCATGGATACCAAAATTCATGGATGTTCAAGTTCCATTATACACAATGACATAGTAAAAAATACATATATATCAAATCGCTGAGCTGCTGAACTTGCTAACCAAAAAGTTGGTGGTTCAAATCCAGGGAGCAGAGGGAGCTCCCACTGTTAACCCCAGCTTCTATCAACCTAGCAGTTCCAAAACATGCAAATGTGAGTAGATTAATAGGCACCGCTTCTGCGGGAAGGTAACGGCGCTCCATGCAGTCATGCCGGCCACATGACCTTGGAGGTGTCTACGGACAACGCTGGCTCTTTTGCTTAGAAATGGAGATGAGCACCACCTCCAGAGTCGGACTTGGCTTAATGTCAAGGGGAAACCTTTACATTTACTTATAAAATGACAAAACAAGGTTTGCTTTTTGAAAATTTAAAAAAATGCCTTCAATTACTGAATGGTTGAATGCATGGTTACAGCCCATACATAGGCTTACCAGGTAAAAACACGGGAGAATAATATTTTTTTAAAATGGAGGTGATACACTATTGCCCAATTTGGGTACTTTATGGTAGCTTCATAATGAGCAAATACATATAAAACAAACACTGTGGAATGAGATCTCTCCAGCTCACAGTAGTTAAAATATACAGCAGACCTGGAGAACATGAAGTCCCCCATATGTTTCATTAGGCTGTGTCTCTCCTCTGCCTTAACCTGCAATGGCAATATTGAGGGATGTGGGCGTTGTAGGTCAACATCCGATGTGTGAGTATTTGGGGGGGGGGAGGATCACTTTATTTATTTATGTATTTATTTACAGAATTTATATGCCACTTTTCTCACCCCTGGGGGGACGCAAAGCGGTTTTCAAAAAATAATGGCAAAATTCAATGCCTTACATACATACACCAAATCATAAATCAAACAGCATATGTCTAAGCATAAAATACATTGGGACACATTCACCATAAGATAATAGGACATTTAAACATGAATTATTTTTTTAAAAAAATCTAATAAAAACATGTTCCCGGCCTATTTGTTGGATGAGGTGTGTTTCTATTGAAGATCCACAGGATGTTCTGACTTGTTTCTACAGTACATAAAGCAGCTTTTCACCAGCAAGAAGAAGGGAATCCAGAATCCAGATCATTATCTGACAGAAGAAAAACTGGATGTTTATCTATATAGTCTATCTCAGCCTGGCCGATTAACACCACCTCTGAATTACTACAGGAACATAATCAGGTAAAGCCCAGCCTTTTCCATTTTCTCTGCTTATGCAGGCTACCAATTGCCTTTCTTTCTTGGGGTTGTACACCTGGAGGCATTAGTACCTTCAGACTGTTTTTTCAGGAAGGCTGGAGAGGTATAGATTGTTGGGAGGGAATTAGTACAGATGGCTGGTTGACTGACTCACTCTTCCCATTAGAAAATAATACCCATCCTCTTTTAGTATGTTTGCAGGGAAAGGGAATGGTAGAAATTCTGAGATCCCACCTAAAGCCATTTAGAGAAATAATTGGGTTGTGGAATATAAGTGGTGGGATGGAAATACTTCCTTTCCAGCTCCCTTCAAATTCAACCCACCCACTTCCATCTGCTGTGCCTGAGACCTCTTGCAAGTAGTAAGAGCTGTGCAAATGTGTGTCTATCCATACAGCTGGCGCCTTCCAAAGAGCAAGGATATCTTGATGCCTGTGTTGCTGCTCTGGGGAAAGAATGATGGATTCCTGGAACCAGGATTGGCTGAACTGATGAAGCAGCACATGCGGAGTGGCGTCCAGGTGCACATGATCCCTAAATGCAGTCACTGGGTAGCTGAGGATCAACCTGAAGAAATCAATCACCTGATAGGGTCTTTCCTTCTGGAGAAAGGAGCCGATGAAGGAAAGGAGTAGCTCCTCCACCAACTGGAGGCTTCCTCCTATTTGGTATGCAGAAACTCACAATAACAGCAACTCAGCCTGACCCTTTTTCTGCGGAGTGTTGCTGCTCTTTCTTGGACCTCACTCCCATATTAATAATTGACTTTGCTTCATGCTCACATTCTCTTGCACCTCAATAAAGACTACCTAACCTGCACCCAGCTTTTTGGGAGGCAGGTGTCACAACTTCGGACCACAGGGAGTTGTATTTTACCAGAGGCCTCCTGACTCACCTCCGCTTTGGTGGGAGGTATGAACGCTCTTGCAAGAGGGAGTGATTCTTTCTTGGTTCCTTGACAGCCAAATCCTGAACAAACAGGATTCCTGACATTCCTTTTCAGAGACAAGCCACTGCCTTTGCAAACTGCTCCATAGGTCCCTGTGGGAAGAACCTGCTGGTTTGGGTGATCCGGAAAGGGAATTTTAATTTTGATTGGAACATGTGCGTCAGATCTGATCTTTCCAGTGCCTAAGATCTGAAGCCAAAAGAGAATGGAGTGAAAATATTCTCCAGAAATAATATAAGGGATAGAACGAGGGCACCTCAGAAATGAGTCAGACTAGTGCTGCGAAATGGTAAAGAATGGATCTGTCGACTGCGGGGACACAATTTAGTGCTTGGCTGAAAATAGCAACTTCAAAGCCAAACGTAACCAAGGAGGCCCAATCATTAACAGAGAAATGGTGTGTACCCTAATTTAGAACATTTTCCTGAAAAGAGCCCTGTAACTGTTTTCTTTCACAGTCATGGCAGCCAAGTTAAGCACACTTCTTTTCACACAGAAATACTTTCATATATAGATTGGCCCTCAATGAACATCTAATCAGATGAAAACATCTTCCTGGTAGTTTAATCATCGAGTTTAACACCTGCAGAGGTTGGAAATGCCGCTCTTTAGGTAACAGTGCCCTGACTTCCTCTCACAAAATGACGGTAGAGTATGGGAATTACTGTCCAAAAAAATTCAACATTTTCAAGAGTGCTGGGAAAGATTCGGCTTGATCTATTCTACCATTCCTGCCACCACTGTAAAGGAAATGTTTAGGGATAATGTGCTGGCATGCATCACTTAATAAAGCTTCTGACGAACTCATTTTTAAAACAAATATTTTTGTACCTGTTCAGCTCTACTTTTCCTCGTTTATAACTGGAATGGTTGTTCTGATACATCAGTATTGGGAGGATGGTGAAAAAGGGATGGAGAAACACAAGTTTTAGTGTCAAGTTGCAGGAGGCTTTCTGTACTAAATACAAAAAAGCTTGAGTTTACAGAGAATGGAGTTCTGCTGGGTTTGCTTTAATCAGGTGTGCCTGCCTACAAGAGGGAAGGTAGATGGCAGCTGCCCTCCAGAGTCTCTTCCTGAGCATAACATGCAGGGGCAGGAGAACGGAGAAAGGGGGAAAGCAAAGGAGCCTTTCTCATCAGTTTTCCCCAAACACATTTTTGAAAGAATTTACATGTAAGTTTGGCCACCAAAATGGAAATAATAAGAAAAGTAGAGGCGAGTGAAAGAAAGCTTTAAGTAGTCTCTAGAAAATTCATGTTTTTTGTTTTAAATATGCACAGTGTTCCTAACCTAGTAGATTTTACAAATGCATATTAAGTTTTGAATCAAAGGTTTGCTGAAACATGCTAAACTGCCCGTCTTTTCTGTGGTGTAGGATCCTTTCCCTATTGTTTCCATGTTATTTCTGTCTCGGGTGCCAATTTTTCTGTTAGAAGTAATGCCCAGGAACACAGTTGGTTTGTTAACTGAGTTATCCCTGTATATAATTATTTTATTGTCCATGTTTTTTTATTTTAATTGCTTGTATTGTTGTTATTATTGCTTGTATATTTGTATTTGGGCTCGGCCTCATGTAAACCGCACCGAGTCCCTTGGGGAGATGGTAGCGGGGTATAAATAAATAATTATTATTATTATTATTATAAGCATGGCCAAGAATAACATAATATTACCACAGCAGAGAGCATTGAAATAGGGACCCATCTGGCAAGTAAATTTCCACTGATATGTTTTGGTCAGGGTTTGATGTTGGCATCATGTCAAAAGAGCAGTTATGTTAGATTTTGTCTGATCCCTCTGTGATATGACCACATACATGCATATCTTGGTTTCCAGAGTCCTAGTCCAGCACTCAAAGCTATACCAGATGTTGAGCCAGTCTGGCTTAGTGTTTTGGGTGCTGGACTTAGACTCTGGGAAACCAAGATTCAAATCCATGCTCCCTTATGGAAATCATCTGGGTCTCCTCCTCACACTTTCTCAACCTCAAAGGAAGGTAACGGGAAACCTCCTCAGAAGAAACCCTGGCAAAGAAACCCCTACAATAAGGGTGCTTTGGGGTTGCCATAAGTTGGAAATGACATAAGAGCACGCAACTAGAAGAGAAGTGTAGTCCCGATGAAGAAAAACAAAGCACTCAAGTTCCTTAACAATACTGTATGGGCCACTTACCAATACCCATCATTTCAATTACCAAACTTCCACACACCCCACCCCCACCAAAACAAAGTGGCTGTAGGCCTTTCTAGGTCCTCCAGTGCTATTCTATGGTATGCTTTTGCAATAAATGTAGTGGAAATATAAAGCATATTATTCTCCACAGTTTCAAGAATCTATTGGAGTGGTTCGTGGGCCTTTGAACATATTTCCGATAGATATTGCGGCGGGGTCCTTTTTCATAGGAATGAATGCTATGCTTTCTCATTTTCTTTTCAATGAGATTGTTCTGCTCTTGAAAGGCCACCAGGGGGCAGTGTTGTAGTGGGTGTTCTTTAGATCATTGTATGTATGGTAGATTGTTCTGGGCTATTTAGTGCTGGATGCTAAAGCACTGGCAAGGGCAAACCTGGGCCCTCCAGGTGTTTTGGACTTCAACTCCCACAATTCCTAACAGCCGATAGGGAGTTGAAGCCCAAAACACCCGGAGGGCCCAAGTTTGTCCATGCCTGAGCTAAAGCAAACCAAAAAACGAGGGGGGGGGGGGGAGGGAATGACAAGTTGCCATGCCAAAATCATTTTACCTTTTATTTAAAATCCAACGTAGCCTATGCAAAGCCACATGTTACAYCTGAAACACAAAATTGGATTTCAGTATACCACTTACAATAGTGACAGGACACTGGGAGACGAAAGTTCAAATCCCATTTAGTCATAGAAACCCACTGTGTGACCTTCCCAATGCACACTTTCCTAGCCCCAGTGGAAGCCTCTGAAGAAATGTTGCTGAGAAAACCCAGTGATAGCATTGCCTTACAGAAATGACTTCAGTGCACGTCAGAAAATTACGGGACGATCCCTGGCTGTACAAAAGAACACTCAACTTGCAATAAGACAAACCAGGGCAGCCTCTCTATCATTTGTGGCACAGCACTGCTAGAGCCCTCCACTATTCCTAGTGCATATTTTAAGTACCTGCCTACTCTAGATTCAGTTTCAGGTTGTTTTCCCTCATCCAGTCCATTATTTCCTCCAGGCAGTCATTTAGAGGAAACAAACTGTCCCTAGCTGAAGCTGTTTAGGAAGACACGGAGAAATATATTTGAGTGTCATCAGCATCTTGAGAGCATGATGCGCCTGATTCCCAAAGCGTTCCATAATGATACCACGGTTGATGAAGGAGTCCAGATTTATTGTCACACAGGTTGTTGGCCCATTCCTGTTTCTGTCTGACAGTCTCTGCTCACATGACAGCCCCAATGGCTGGATATGATCCAGGGATCTGTACCTGCAACAATCATGGCAGGAGGGAATCTGATTCAGGGCTGACTTTTGCTACCTCTTTCATCCTGGCTCTTACTTAACTTGCTGGTCAATGCATATGATCTTGTCTTTCTATCAATGGCTTCAAGTTAGGGGGCATCCAGTCAGACTTGGCTTTCCTGCTTGCCAGTCCACCACTGCAACTACTACACCAAACCACTCTCACACTTTCTACACACTTGATCTTAGCCAAAAGGCTGAGAAAACACTTTCAGGAACCCTTTGCACATCAGTCTTTCCCAAAAAATGGCAACATATTGGTAAGAAAAGAAATTAAGCATTTGTCTGTAAAGTACCATATTTTTTTCCTGTCGGGAGCGACTTGAGAAACTGCAAGTCACTTCTGGCGTGAGAGAATTGGCCATCTGCAAGGATGTTGCCAAGGGGATGCCCAGATGTTTGATGTTTTACCATCCTTGTGGGAGGCTTCTCTCATGTCCCCACATGGGGAGCTGGAGCTGACAAAGGGAGCTCAACCCACTTTCCCCGGATTTGAACAGCTGACCCGTCAGTCATCAGTCCTGCTGGCACAAGGGTTTAGCCAACTGCGCCACTAAGGGCTCCTGCACCATAATTTAAATGTTGTAATTGCGGAATGATTCACAGTGGTTTGGGAAAATGGTGTAGAGGAGAACATTTATATCTGCACAAAGGGACATTAAGTGTTTTTGTTTACTCTTGTCTTTTTACCTCTGTCTTTCCTTTGTTCTCTCCACCACTTCTACTTGTAGATTTTCAGAAGCAAATGTAGGATCAGAAAAGATAATCTACAGGGATCCCTATAATTCTATTATCTCCATAAAGATGCCTTCCTAGAAGTATGGGATATAGAAAACATTGTTTTTGTCTGAATTTACATGATGCATTCCTAGAAGCCACATAAAGACCATGATTAACAAATTGCTGCTTACATGGGAAGCATTTAGCCACACAGGGATTTGAAAGTGCTGGCTGTACAACTACGTATCTTCTCCACAAAACTTTGGATTTTTTTCTCTGTAGGTTTTCTATTCTCTTTTTTCCCCTTTCTCTGGCATGTTTCACAGTCCATACAACCAAAAAATAGTTCTTAGCTATCACTGGAACTGTATCCACTGGACAGATAAAAGACTAGTCCTGAAGCAAGCATCCCTCGTATTGCTGGAAGAGAATCCGTTCCTGCCCTTGGAGAAGTGGCACACAGTGTAACAATGGCTCCTGTAGCATCGGCAGTCAATGGTCATATTTACTTCCTGGAAAAGAAACTAGTTTATTTATTTATTTATTATTTATTTATTTACTGCTCTTATATACCGCAATTCTCAACCCGGGGGCGACTCATTGCGGTGTTCAAAGTCTTGCAAACAAAGAGAGTAAAAGCTGCATCTCTCAAGCAGCTTGGCAAATTCTTTGTTGTGCTAGGAATTCCTTTTTGCTTTATATCTTCAGGGAAGAAAGGGAGGCTTGGCAGAGCAGAACAAATCAATGCCTGGATTAGAGACCCTCCTGCTTTTCACACCTGAAAACTGGAGCACATATTGCCAAGCAACATCAGTGTGTGGTCAAGATGGCAGAAGTTACTTATGATAAAGAACACAAAACCTACCACTTCATTGCACTAGAGAGAGAAAATACCTTAAAATCTGGTTTCTGCCTCCTGCAGAATTCTGGGGTTTGTAGTTTAGTGAGGCTGTTAAAGGCTCCTCCCTAAATGGCAAAACCCAGATTTCTGCAGGAGTAGAAACTGCTACATTCAGCAAAGGAAAAGAGGGATCATCTCTCCTTTGCAGGAGTCTACTGTATCCCATGCAGTTGTGGACAAGTCGACATAAGGACCACCAAACATGGCAAGGCCCAGACATGAATCAAGGAACATGAAAGGCACTGCGGACTAACTAAACGAGAGAAGTCAGCCATAGCAGAGCACCTGATGAACCAACCTGGACACAGCACATTATCCGAGAACACAGAAATGCTGGACCACTCTCACAACTAACATGCCAGRCTACACAGAGAAGCCGTTGAAATCCACAAGCATGCGGACAATTTCAACAGAAAAGAGGAAATCATGAAAATGAACAAAATCTGGCTACCAGTATTWAAAAAAAMCCCTCTAAAAACAGGTCAGTAAAGAAARAACAACACTCAGAAAACAGGGGAATTCCAGACAAGAATCTATCAGGGCCWGCTAACACCTCCCAACAAAGGATCCCCCAGGGAGCAATCAGCCAGTCTTTGAAGCTACAAAGGCATTAAATGCTAATCAAGGTGGCCAATTGCAACATTCACACTTGCCTCACACAGACAAGAGTTCTTTCTCCCAACCTGGACATTATTCCACAGATAATGAATTGAATTGT